CTTTTTTGCCCCGTTTGGCCCCTTTGCTGAGAAAATAATACATTTTTTGCAGTTTTAAAAATATTTCTCGGATATTTGTAGTTTAACCATCTGCAGCTAAGTTATCTACAGTTCAGTTAGACCATCTGCAGACTGTATGCACATTCTATCTGCACAATAGTTATCCCTTGTAGTCCAATTTTACATTGACTCCGGGCCAGAGGAAAATTACCGATTGCCAAGGTTTGATGCCTAGGCAGTCGAAACCTCTTATTGAGACCCGATATAATAATAATAACAAAGTATTTATACCCCGCTCATATTAGCAACTAGTAACCAAGAATGGTACTAGCTACTAATGTCAGAGCGGCTCTCATAACAAAGAGAAAACTATAATAATTTAGAATTCTCCAACAACAAATTCTCACTTTCCTTTAAGCTGCTTATTGGTAACACTAACGTTTAAAAACTATATACGACAGACATGGCGGTACAATCAGACATCAGATGGAATAAACTAAAAGAGAAAAATAATAATCTCGACACATATTGGTTACCTTTACTTATTCAAAAGAATTTAATTAATTAAATTTCAATGGCATATTATCATTATGGTTATCGGACAGAATGAGGTTTAAATCACTTAACATGATTAAGGCAATTCGATAATGTAGCTACGCACGGTTAAGGCACGGTTAAGGCACGGTTAAGGCACGGTTAAGGCACGGTTAAGGCACGGTTAAGGCACGGTTAAGGCACGGTTAAGGCACAAGGGTTACATAAGGCACGGTTGAAGCACGGTCACTTAAGGCACGGTTAACGCACGGTTAACGCACGGTTAACGCACAGTTAAGGCACAGTTAATGCACAAACTGCCCATAAGCAACCATTATGGTCGCTTAAGGCACGGTTAATGCACGGTTAACGCACGGTTGGGGGAATATACCCGTGCCTCAACCATGCCTTATGTAACCCTTGTGCCTTAACCGTGCCTTAACCGTGCGTTAACCGTGCGTTAACCGTGCGTTAACCGTGCGTTAACCGTGCGTTAACCGTGCGTTAACTGTGCTTTAACCGTGCCTTAAGTGACCGTGCCTCAACCTTATGTAACCCTTGTGTCTTAACCGTGCCTTATCCCTAATACTAATAGCAGGACTAAATCAAGATGCGACTAAAGAGCAGGAAGGTGAAACGACAGTGAAATAACTGTTCTTAGCACAACTTCATATTAACTGATCCCCCAACGGTACCGCAACACCGTACCGACACCGTTGCTTCTTCTACTTGCACTACCCAGGATGCTACGTCTAAGCTTTGGCATAATAGCCACAGACCCTGCAACTTGTGGAATTAACATTCGGTCGGGAGGAAGTAAAATAAATGTGCAAAATCTAAAAATAAAGTTCGGACGAATAATATATTACAGTCCGCCCTGAAGAATGCATATATTCACTATTTTATCGTCACGTACGTATTAACTATTATTAATGCTTTTCAAACAAAGTTACAACGAATTCTTCATGTAGTGCATCCTGGGTTTGGACAGGATATGCCCGTTTAGAATATTTCCATCACGTTACATTACATAATTCTCAATAAATGTAATAGATTTGTAGTGTTGTAATTAGTTTTTAAAATGTTTTCCTCATCTTTGCCTTTGTTCATAAGATGTATAGTATTCTGAATGTTTGCAGTTTTCCAGACATTGATTTGGGTGTCTCGTGGTTAACTTTATGTCTAGTGGTAAACTTATGTCCAGTGGTCTAAGTTTTTATGTCTAAGTTCTAGGGAAGTTGGGAAGTTTTTGGCTAACAATGTTACGTCAGCAGACGAGTGGGTTAAGAAATGCTTGTGAAAGTGGATTCCTGGAAACCAAATTTTCCACGGTTCATGTTACCCTGATCGATCATTATGAAATATGAGCCTAAAATATTTTTTCCGGTTTTCTGAAGTCCGTACCTAGTAGTAGTAACTAGTACCTACCTCTCGATATACGATTTTGGAAGTTTTTCCTGAAACTATGTACTTTTGTTCATGTTTCATGCTACTCTGATCATTATGAGCCGAAAATGTTATTTCGTTTTTCGAAGTCCGCACCTACCCTTAGCCATATACGATTTTGGACTCGAGGCTTAGGGCCTGTCGTGATATCATGGGTCGCTTAGGTTCCACCAGGATCTGGTAGTCCTCATAATTCTGCGGCCTCTATGTATCGTTATCTAACACAACTCCGTAAGACCCTTGTGAGTTAGGTACGTGAAAATGTGCAGCCTTCCAGACATTGATTGGGTTAACGAGGTGTCGTACGTCACCTCAAGATCGGGTGACAGGGGGCTGACCAGGCCATAACCCAATTGTTTGGGTCGGAGGCACGTGATTATGAGCCTGAGGTCACGTGACTGTGACATCACCAGAGCTTGTTCTCCGTTTCCCGCTCATTGGACCAGGTGAGCTTGCATGCTTGTGAATGTGGGTGTAAGTACAGCTGTACTGTAGTTTATATCTAATTACCCCCTATTATAGAAACCGTAAATTTATTTTCTGACAGAAAGCTAGAAATTTACCAAAATATCGACATTGTTATAAACTTATTTTGATGAACATTACTGACCTAAAATTGCACGGGAAATCGATTTAACTTGGTTTCAGAGCTCGACAATGCTTCCTTATGCCTTAAAATCCATGTTTTATCGATACAATCAACATTACGATCCTGCTGATTAATTAGTAACAGGTAACAAATACGCAGAAACAACCATCACACCTACATTGCATTCTTAACAATAACGGGTCGATTTCAAGTGACCAATAATGGTCGTGATGATACGTCATGTGTTCCTGATCATTACATCATAAGCAATCAAGAGACAGGAGCGGCAAGGTCAAAAGGAAATCGCGGCACGTGCAGAATCGCGATTTTTCCCATTCCCTGCGACAAATCACGATTTTTGACGTTTGCCGAGACAAACAGATCTTCGCGACAAATTGCGATTATTCCAGTTCTCTGAGGACCAAATTTGCGCATTCTCCTTTAAATCCGAGGGCCAAATATCACGTTCTTTATAATCATAAGGAACTAATCACATCCACAGCCTTCCGAATGTAGGTACGGACCGAAAAAGTATTTCCGTCTCATAATGCTCAGGGAAGCATGAACATGAACAAAAGTAGTTTCCAGAAAAGTGCCTCAATATGTAAAGTTACTCTCCTTGTTTCCATATAAACATAACTTTACGTAATAATCATAATAATTTTCTATTATCACTAGAAGCCGCACAGACCTACTATCTACACACAAACCAACTAATAATTTTCATTACCCTAGTCGTGTTACAACATCACGAAGAAGAGTCTGTTTAGACCTTAACACTCAAGATTATTAATATAGATGCTATTGTTTTGCCTGACAAGCCTGTCGCTCCCTATTTTTTTGAAGCCTGTAAGCGTGTTTGAGTCTGTTAGGTGTTAGAGTCCTAGGGTTACACGAGACGTGGTAGCCTGTGAGCGTATCATCACGACAATTATTGGTCACTCAAAATCGATCCGTTGTTTCTGCCCATTTATTACCTGTTACTAATTAATCAACATGATCAATGATCATAATGTTGATTGTATCGATAACACATGGATAGTAAGGCATAAGGAAGCATTGTTGAGCTCTGAAACCAAGTTTAATCGATTTCTCGTGCAATTTTAGGTCATTTTGGTAAATTTCTAGCTTTATGTCAGAAAATAAATTTACGGTTTCTATAATAGGGGGTAATTAGATATAAACTACAGTACAGCTGTACTTACACCCACATTCACAAGCATGCAAGCTCACCTGGTCCAATGAGCGGGAAACGGAGAACAAGCTCTGGTGACGTCACAGTCACGTGACCTCAGGCTCATAATCACGTGACCTCAGACCCAATCAATTGGGTTCTGGCCTGGTCAGCCCCCTGTCACCCGATATTGAGGTGACGTACGACACCTCGTTAACCCAATCAATGTCTGGAAGGCTGCAAATTTTCACATGCCTAACTCACAAGGGTCTTACGGAGTTGTGCGAGATGACGATACATAGAGTCCGCAGAATTATGAGGACTACCAGATCCTGGTGGAACCTAAGCAATCCATGATATCATGACAGGCCCTACTCGAGGCTTCCCCCTTGTAATGTGATCTCGGAAGGCAGGCTTAACCTCTTTGCAATACGAGCTCGGAAGCAGGAGCTCTACCATCGAAGTACCTATCGAGAATGACTCGGACCGAACATTTTCTAAGTCGACATTTTTTCAAAGTTTTTCTGGAAACTATTTTTGTTAATGTTTCATGCTACCATGATCATCATGAGCTGACAAATGTTTCGGTCTTCTGAAGTCCGTGCCTACATTCGGAAGACTGTGGTTGTGATTGGTTCCATATACTTATAACTTAATAAAGAACATGATATTTGGCCTTCGGATTTGTTGAACTGTTTTTAGTTTATTTACTCTGTTACAACAGGCTAAATTTATGGATTTTTGTCCCGAGCCGTTCCGGATCCAATCCGGTTTCTAACTCTGAGCATTTATTTTGCAAAATGTTTGCAAAGTGTGGATATTCTTCTTTAATTAGACAGGCTAATCTGTATATAAGAACGTTGCAACACATGATTGTTGATGTTCAGTCAAAAACAATAGTGAACGTTCAGAAGCAGTGTTTCACACCGATAACAATTGTGGTGCAGAATAACACAATAGAATTTCTATTGAATGTACTATGTACATTGTACATTGTGCATGTATCTATATCAACACAATTTGAATCTGTTGAGGATGCTATCAACATTGATGAGTTGTTTGTTTGCAGCTACTTTTCTCCATCTCTTGTTTTGTATCAAGTATAAATTATCATTACCCATGACTACAGCTGCCCAGGGCAAAAATATGCCATCATTTTGAATTAAAAAATTGTGCAGAATTGTGTCAATAGGTTCGAAAATTTCGTAGAACAACCAAAAGTGCGGATAACGCCAAATATTATACTAAAATAATGCGACTTATCCACTCATGTTTACCACTTAGATCTAAAAAATGTCAACCGAGAAAGCCATTGGTGATGAGGTCCCGTACACCTTCATCATCCAGACTGGTTCAAGCTTCCCTGATAAAAAGTACACGGAGAAATGGGACGATGGAACCATGATCTTGACAATAAATCCTGGTGCTGGCTCCACAGAATCAAAAGAGGTCAGAGTCACAGAACTCTTCCCTATGTGGACAGAGGGAGTCGTGACGGTGGACTTCTGGCTTCCTGCAGCCATTGGAGTACCCAAGTTGTTGAAAGTAGATTTAGAAGGTACAATGTTTGGGATTTTCAAAGACGCTTTGTACATACGGGAGATATCCATCCTCTACAACAGGGATCTGTACCGCTTTCCTATTAAGAACTTCCTCTATCCACATAGCGCAAGTTATAACCCTACTGAACCCAGGGAGGGTTGTCCACCTCATTTCCTTATTCGAGAGGGAGCAGGCACTTTAAAGCATCTAGAAACAGAGGATTTCATCATTAAAGCAAGAAATGAGGATCTCAACATGGTCAAATCTATGGTTAAATGGAATAATGACGGAGAAGATTCGACAGCTCCCGCTCTGCTCTTTCCTGGAACTTTGGAAGACATGAAGGCTGCTGATCTACCAAGATTCCTTCAATTTAGAGATGCAACTCTTGATGCGGGTGAGAAAATGAGAAAACCCGGTGAATCTACGGTTATGAAAAATGTCCTCAAAAACATGGTGGCGCAATTTTTCAAAACATACAAGGTAAAGAATTTTGAGTCCTTTGACCAGTACTGTACGTATCTAAAAAAAACAGCAGACAACATGGGATGGGAAAAGTCAACGGTCCATGAAACTCTGAAAATGGCTAAAATTTTCCGTCAAGATGAAGAGTTCGGAAGACAATTGCTTTGTGGCCCTAATCCATGGATGGTAAGACAGGTGTCATCCTTAGAGGGGAGGTGGTCAGAGTCAACAGTTCCTGACCACGCACCCGAGGGTAAATCTCTTCAACAAATTCTGGCAGAAGGCCACTTGTTCGAAGTCAGCTACTACGATGACTTGATCAACATTCCACACGGTGGGAAAATGAGCAAATCACTGACCGGAACTGCACAAACATGGTACATGTGCCTTGCAGAATGTCTCTTGTACCAGAGAAACGATGGTAAGTTGGTTCCAGTCCTGATACGATTAGAGAACACGAATGATGGCGAACTTGCGACTTTTTGGTCTCCCCCGAAGCCAGAGACAACTGATCTTGACCACCCCGAACACTTGGCTTGGCTTTGGGCTAAGATGTGGTTCAGGAGTGCGGATGTGAACCACCATTCTCTGGTAACTCACTACGGTCGAGCTCACGCCACCAACGAGGTCTTCGCAGTTGCTATCTACAGGAACCTTCCAAACGCACATCCGATATTTAGGCTGCTTCAGCCTCACATTCTGGGAGTCATCGCCATTAACTGCCAGGCACGTGAAATATTCCTGAAAGTTCCTGAAAGTAATGCACTTGCTTGTGTTATATCAGCCGGGGACAACTACTGGCTGGCTTTCGACAACCACTACAAAACGTTCACTTACGATGACCTGATTGCACCGGAGGTTGTTAAAAAACGCGGCACCAAACACATTCCTGAATATCTATTTAGGGACGATTACCTCTCTCACTGGGAGATTATCCAGGAATACGTTGAGGAAATCGTGAATCTGACATATCCCTCTGATGAAGACGTGACTCTGGACGCAGCGTTACAGAACCTTTTCGAAGAAGTTGTCAAATTCGGCTTCCACGGAATACCAAACAGTGCCGGTTTCCCAAGGGTTGTGAAAAAGAAAGAAAAGCTGACGGAATACTTGACTGCAATCATCGTGAACATGTCCACATTTCATGCAGCTGTGAATTTCCAGGTCTTCCACTGTTTTGGGTACGTACCAAACAGTCCTTCCTGTATGTCCCTTCCCCCTCCAAAACAAGGCGATACCATTACTATGGACAAGATATTGAAATCTCTGTCTGTACTCGAAATCACATTCTTCATTTCGACCGTTTTCTTTGGACTTGGAACGTTTTCTCCCATTGAAAACTTCTTTTTGGGTGATCTCGGCGCAAACAGGCAGGGTATGATCGGAGAAATTATGACTATTGCAGCGAACCAGGAAGCATGTGTTCGGAGATTGATTGAGAAGATGAGGCAGCTAAAGGAGAAGATAGACGCCAGGAATGTGGGTCGGTATTTGAAGTATGATGTGTTGAGTCCCGTTAATATTCCTCTGGCTACTCAAGCTTAGTAAAACAGTTGGTTTTAGCACTAAGATTTGATTTTGATTAAGGAAGGACCTTGGAACACTATTAGTATAATTAGAGAATCAGACCATCTTTTTTTTTATCTAATGGATGCATGATTTGTAAATTTAGGAAATATACATTTTTTATACAGAACCATTTATTGACAATGATTTATGATTATATCCCAAATTTTGAGTTAACATAATGAAATGAAATATTATTTCTATCCCGCTTCTTTATACAAAATTATGAGCAATAAAAATTACAAAAAATAATATTATAGCAATCTTAATTTTCAAGTTCAACCAAATAGCTTACTTTGCCCAGCAGTTGTAGTGAAGTTTTTTAATTCCATTCGTGAGAACTTTCTCGGTATCCTCTGAAACATTATGAAGTTAAATGTAACAATAAAATGTAACAGTTAAATTAACAGTCAAATGTAACAGCTAAATGTAACAGTCAAATGTAACAGTCAAATGTAACAGTCAAATGTAACAGTCAAATGTGACAGTCAAATGTAACAGTCAATGAGTCGAATGTAACAGCTAATTGTAACAATTAAATGTAACGGTCAAATGTAACAGTTAAATGTAACAGTTAAATGTAACAATCAAATGTAACAGTTAAATGTAACAGTCAAATGTAACAGTCAAATGTAACAGTCAGATGTAACTGTCAAATTTAACAGTCAAAATGTCAAATGTAACAGTTTAATGTAACAGTCAAATGTAACAGTCAAATATAACAGTCAAATGTAACAGTCAAATGTCAAGTTCAAGATAAACAGCAAAAGCTTGCATACAGTACCATCGAATTAAAAACGGATGGTTGCTCTACAGTTCACTATTCTTGATTCTGAAAATTCTCACAATAAAAACCGATAGATTTTTAACATTAACTACCTCGAATCCTCTTGAGACCCATCATTTCACAAGGTAACTACACCGCCTATTCTACCGCATTATCATCAAGCCTTTCCATATCAGATAATTGGAACCTAGTTGATTAATTCTTTTTATATTAAATGAACTTTCCTAATTTCCGATAATCATAAATTAAAAACGATCACTAATTTCTCAGCAATTGAGATTCGCGCTTTCAATAACGTTTGCTCTCTTTTCCTAAACGTTGAGTTGGTGATATGATGTCAAAAGGGAACAACAATAAATCTGTAACGTCTTCAAAACGAACGAAGAAATTTCTTCAAAAAGGACTTTAAAAGTAAATACCCTTTAAACAAATGTTAAATAAATGTCTAGCTAGGATCTAAGTATAAATGTCTTAGACCCTAGCTAAACGGCACGTAACGATAACGAGATAGACTCTTTGTTCTAGCTAGGCGGCACGTAGCGCAGTACGTGATCCATACCATACATATCTTGTTATAGTGCTCTTGGATAAAAGACATGTCAGTTAACAAAATCATGAGCCTGTAAGTGCGAGGTGGTATCAGGCTGCCCCCCCCCCCCCCCCCCCGCTAGGGTACTGGAGTAGGTTGACAAATAAACAGAACACAAGCTACAGTTTATAGAGTCTACTGAGTGTTGGAAGGAGTTAGGATTTATCAAACTGGGTCAATCCAATCACAAAATAGAAATTAAGGCATTAAGTTGAATAAATATCAGGAAATAACTCTATTCAGGAATCTTTATTATTTCCTGCCAATAAGCTACTCAGACTCATTTATAATGTCTTGAATTTCCACGTACAATTTCCAGACTTATAAACCAATATTTTAGCCGACAATAATTTAATTATTCGACTTGCTTAAGTTACTTAGGTAAGCTTCGCAGAATCCTCTACTGGTTCGTCGAATGAGTCGAAGATGTGGTTGAATAACTACAAACGAATCGTCTCAAAGAAACTTACTAAACTGGGAGCTGGACTTGTTAATACTTGGAATGCCCACTGCTCGTACTAAATCTAGGACACTGGTAGGATTTGGGTCCTATGTCTACAAGCTTTGAGGATTGGATTTTTGGTAGACTCGATATTTATATTGAGTGGGGACTCTCATTTCGTCCCCAGTAATCATAATAATCATTCATGATCGACCCACTCAAGAGAGCGAAAAAAAAAATAAAACTTGATATTCATTCAAAATCTGATATTCATATATACTATATTTACCAAGCAAAAGCAATTAATAAGAGCAGTAATCCCCGGGTTCATAAACTACAAACACAGAGATGACAACACTCTGGCCACACCAAACCATACTTAAAGGACAAAAGAATACTCACTGTACAAGAAGTAATAACTTTAAATGCCCTCACTTTCACCAACAGGTTAAACATTTTCTCAACTCTCAATATACGGTTTAGTTTCCCCGACAGCAGACAAGCATTATCTGAGTCTACGCATGACCATTGTACGACCATTGCAATAGTTTGTATTACCTTGCTTCCTAGTCTCTAGCTCGCTTCTCTCACGTAGAGAGAGAAGCTTCCTTCCCAGGAAGCTTGAAAAGAGCGCCGCCCACAGGGACTGAGGACTGGCGGCGTGGTAGGTAATAGTTTGTATATGTCTCTATGTTATATGTACTTATGTAGGAGTTTACTTCACAGGATTTGATGATACACGATTTATTCCCCTTTTATCACGAGCTATTACTTTTGATAAATTTAATGGATAAACAAATCTGCATGAACATGTATTTACGTGAAACGATAAAGAAGCTTAAAACTTAACTTATCAGAACAAACGAAATCATCACTCGTCGTTAATCATCGTAGCCACGATAAAATGTCTCAGAAAGTGAAACAAATGAAAAATTCCTGGAATTTGACATTTGTTTCTAAGGACTGCAGATCAGCAACAGTCCTAATCAACAGTCCTAACTGACAGACTGATAAATGACTGATAACTTACCGCCCACTGAGTTGGAGGGTGTGGCGAGAGAGAAAGAGAGAGAGAGAGAGAGAGAGAGAGAGAGAGAGAGAGAGAGAGAGAGAGAGAGAGAGAGAGAGAGAGAGAGAGAGAGAGAGAGAGAGAGAGAGAGAGAGAGAGAGAGAGAGAGAGAGAGAGAGAGAGAGAGAGAGAGAGAGAGAGAGAGAGAGAGAGAGAGAGAGAGAGAGAGAGAGAGAGAGAGAGAGAGAGAGAGAGAGAGAGAGAGAGAGAGAGAGAGAGAGAGAGAGAGAGAGAGAGAGAGAGAGAGAGAGAGAGAGAGAGAGAGAGAGAGAGAGAGAGAGAGAGAGAGAGAGAGAGAGAGAGAGAGAGAGAGAGAGAGAGAGAGAGAGAGAGAGAGAGAGAGAGAGAGAGAGAGAGAGAGAGAGAGAGAGAGAGAGAGAGAGAGAGAGAGAGAGAGAGAGAGAGAGAGAGAGAGAGAGAGAGAGAGAGAGAGAGAGAGAGAGAGAGAGAGAGAGAGAGAGAGAGAGAGAGAGAGAGAGAGAGAGAGAGAGAGAGAGAGAGAGAGAGAGAGAGAGAGAGAGAGAGAGAGAGAGAGAGAGAGAGAGAGAGGAGAGAGAGAGAGAGAGAGAGAGAGAGAGAGAGAGAGAGAGAGAGAGAGAGAGAGAGAGAGAGAGAGAGAGAGAGAGAGAGAGAGAGAGAGAGAGAGAGAGAGAGTTGGAGGGTGTGGCGAGGAGGTACAGTGAAGGAACACCGAACATTGTAAAACGCATAGTATTTTTTTAATTTACACGGTCTTGTTTCTTAACCTTAGTACACTAACTTCAAGATGGCGACCTTTATTCATGGTATAATTGTCAGATATGAGATCACAAAATCTTTGAAACAGTGAATTTAGATGTCGGTGGTAACTGGTACTTAACAAAATTGCAAGTATAAGTGGCGGATAAGTAAATACGTGGCGTTCCAAAACAATAAAACAAGGTCCAAGCAGTTCAGTTGAAACCAGTAACTGGTACAATTTGAAATACAGATAACTGAAGGGATATAGAAGAAGGAAGGGCCATGAGGTCGTGTCTACAGTGATAAAATGAGACCGTTTTATTTTGTATAAATTAAAACAGAGTTCAGAGTTGAGAGTTGGTCGGTTAGTGGCTATACTTAAAGTAAGGAGGATACTTATAGTGACGGAGATACTGAACTCTGGTCCCTGAACCCACCATACCCAACAACCACTCACGACCACAAATAAGGCAATGTGCAGCCATGCCATCAATACAAATCGATCCAAGGAGCCTAAAACATAACTGGAAACTCACTGCAGTGAACGTTCCTTCATGCATGAAATTATCGGTTAACGAGCCGAAGATAGGACCGGACCCAAAACATACAAACATATGTTTTATTACCCTCCTTAAATTACAGCAGTATACATAGTACAGACCATGTCAAGACCATCTCAAGGTCTATACTTTCCTGGCTACTGCAGAATTTAAGTTTAGATAATAGGATTGACAATCATTTGACCAGTAGAAGGTTAATTAGAGAAATAGTAACAGTTTCAGGCGTCAAGTCTGGAATTATTTTTGCTGGGCCGAATAAAAAGGGGCGATGTTTAATAGATTGATAGACTTTTTGGGTCACAAATAAGCCTAATTGGAAATGAGTAACAATCTTTGAATCTTAAACTGAAGTATAACCTCTTATGTATTAGCCAGCAATCAGGTCATTTAGTAGCAATTTGATGATCATAATAAACACTGAACAAGACTATTAAGGTTTGTATCATTGTTATGACCCAGCAACCTATTTTTTTTCCGCCAGAAGTGATCAAATTGCATGAAATGAGTAACAATCTTAAACTGAAGCATAACCTCTTATGTATTAGCCAGCAATCAGGTCATTTAGTAGCAATTTGATGATCATAATAAACACTGAACAAGACAATTAAGGTTTGTATCATTGTTATGACCCAGCAACCTATTTTTTCCGCCAGAAGTGATCAAATTGCATGAAATGAGTAACAATCTTAAACTGAAGTATAACCTCTTATGTATTAGCCAGCAATCAGGTCATTTAGTAGCAATTTGATGATCATAATAAACACTGAACAATACTATTAAAGTATTAAGGTTTGTATCATTGTTATGACCCAGCAACTGATACTCAGAGATCTGGTGTAATTGGTATAGCAATGGACTATATGATAGTTCTATAAGGTAAAGCCACGTGACTCTCCTAATACTGCCTTATACATTACAATAACTTATTAAAACTCACAAAGTTTTAACTGAAAACTATATCGGTTACATTTGCTACCCACAGAGTGATTCGTGTACTCTAGTTCGACAATC